AACAAATTGATCTCCGCATCTGCACAAAATCTTTCTGAAATTGAACAAGTATATGGGTCTCTTCATCATACTTTACTCTTCATCCATGTGGTGAATTCACAGAGCTTCTTTAAGAAAGTGTCCATTCATATGATATTTTCTACTTTCTCTACAGTGCAAGTTAAATTTAATCCTAACAGTTAAACGACATCTAAATGCTTTTGTATGTAGTGGAGGAGAAGAGAAAGGGAAGCCAACTTTTTTAAAAATTAAGATGTAACAAAAACTAGTTTGAAACAATATGGTTTCTTCTGCCAACACTGAGATCACTTTTGCTGTAATGACAAATCACCTCTCTGCCATGAACTGGACACAAACTTTAGTTGGAATGCTCTTCTTCACCTTTTCATCTATCCCAATGTTGCAAAAGCTTTGACTCCTAAGCTAAAGCCAGCTAATTTACTTTGCCATACAGCAGTAACATACAATATTTAACAAATTCCACAGCATAAAAGGCATTTTGGGGGATCTGTAATTAACGGAACAGTGTGGAAAGCACGGTTCTAGGCGTTTTACTATGGAATACTGGGAGAAACCACAGTGCAATCTGTACTGGGAGAGCTGGGCACCTATCCTGCGGTTTCTACTTAAGCAAAACCACTGATACATGGCCCAAACTTGGCAAGACTGTCAGAGACATGCTTATGCTTTTGGCAGAAGGGAACTGACCACTTTCAGCATCAGCATCCTTTGCCAGCTGGCCAAAGAGTACACAGATGCAAGGGAAACAAATTATCCACCCACTGGCAAAAAGAAATGGTGAGCAGCACCTAAGGAAAAACTGTATGTATGCATGCATGCACATGTGTGAGTTTGCATGTGAGCATATATATATTTATATATTTATGAAACTGTGCTTTGTGAAAAGGAATAAATACAGTTAAACCGAAAAAAATGTCTGCTACTAGCCCTGTGGTATAATTTTCTGTAACATTCTCACAATAACAAACAGGCCTTTCTTCAATTAAAATCTTCCTGAATTTTCAACATTAAATAAAGGACTGCAGGATGCTAAAGAAAGATTTTCAAAGAAAGTCAGAAATTTGACTCCCATATGATCTGTTAAAGGATTTTAGCAACTTAAAGTAAGCATGTAATTACATTTTCTTTCCTTTTTTTTTTTTTTTTTTTTTTTTTTTTCTTCGAGAATGAGTGCCTAGGGAAAAAACATTATACCAAAATTTGGTAAAATATAAAAAGAGCCTTCCAGGTTCAAAAGATATATGAGAAATGACTTAGAAAAAAATAATAGGACAAGAATTTGTAGTCAGTAGGCTAGGTAGAGCTGAGAGCAGGAATTTGTCTGTAGATTAATTAGATTCTGCAATCAAACTCCCTTTCTCCCGTACACATCCCATCACTATCATTACATGATCAACAGATTTTTATGAAAGCTAATGCTTTCTTTTGAGAAATTCCGTGGGGACTATGTATAATGTTGATTTTGCTTTTCTAAATATTTCTTGAAAATTGTACGTAATGCATGAACACATTTGTTGGCTGCAAAGGTGTACAACAGCAATTTTTTGCAATGACAGTGCAGAGAGGGAATATGAGATCTGTGTGCTAATGAGCTGACACTGCAGAGGCTAGAGCAGTGTTAGTATAGTGCACTACAAATGCAGAGCAGAAAGACATACGTAGGTTATTTCTAGGGAATATGATCTACAGAACTGTACGCATAATTCAACATTAATACTAACATCCTTCATCGGAGGTTACAATAAAAATGTGAAGATGTTTCTAGCAATGTATTTATACATTTTGGTTGCTATATTCTTATTATTAAAAAAAAAAGGCAGCTCACTCTCTATGTGAGCATTTTTGAAGAAAAGATAAAATATCCAAATATCCATATTTTACTTCATTTTATACATTCACAGCTCAATTTAACTTTTTTCCTTTTTTTTTTTTTTTCTGATGGCAAAAAGCTTCCTATTTTAAGAGATATAATAAATCCTGCCAAAGCCAACTGATAAACTTTAATTCGCCTTTAAATACACTGGAATTTTCCTCTGTGCTTGCATTTGTTCTCAGTGAAGATATTATACACCTAAATAAATAGATGGGTAGATAAACACAGAGTGGATGAATACCGTATGCATGTGTGTAAATTAAATATACAGAGAGAGGCTCAGTGCTAGCAGTGAAGCAGGGAATGCATGTACATGAATCAGATTATGCATCATTTAACTGAAAAAGGAATGAGAAGGAGGGGCTTAGGGCAGGAATTTTCTTTTGCTTCTAAACAACTTTGTTCTCATGTTGGGATATTGCCAAATCAAGCCTACTAGAGGTGGGCTTTTTATCTCTGGCTCATGAGGACACTTCAGAAAAGATATTTTTTCCTGCCTCTGGAATGCACCAGATTGCAGCAAGTAGGATGTGCAGTTGTACAGTAAGAAGCTAAGTCTTTTCTAAGTGGAGACCTCCTCAATTCCTACCCACATGAACACTTATAACAGCCACTATCAAATAATTCAGAGCAAAGGAGAATGAAAATTATTAATTTATGGATACAGACCAGTACAGGCACTTGGCTCAACCTATACATGCTGCTTTCTCTGATTTCCCTTCAGTTCCTTTATATATCCCACCACAAAGTCAGTCACAGTCTTTCTCTCTGGTGAAGGCAGCCACAGTCACTGCAGCTTTCTCTCATATGGATCCCTGCCAATTGCAAATATTGATCAAAAGGTTGTGTGACAGCACCGGAGACAATTTATGCTTATCTTCAAGAGAAGTAAAAATATTGTGGAAAGAATTCCTTCATGGCAGCACCCTGAAATTATCTGCCACTCCACTAGGAAGTGAGGATGGGCCTAAGGGTGTGTGGGCAGGAATGTTTTAAATGTTAGCCATGCAGTGTGAGGAGCTTATTAGTCCATCCTGATGTATCAATATTCACAAGCATTCTGACTTTCAAAGATAATTGCTTGCAAATCTGAAAAGAGATTTTTTTTTTTTTTAATTTGAGCTATTTAGACCTATCTGGCTAGTGACTTGGACTCACTGTATTATTTTTCTGTCAACAGTATTACCAGATGTTTGACGTAGCTATGGACAAGGTCACCTTTTCATTTTCTTTCTCCTCTTTCTTCTTTCACATCTTCTGTTTTTGAATAGGTTACTGTAGGTTGGTATTATCCGATCTACGGTTTCTCCAGAGATTTAAGTTTTACAAATTTTACTACTCTGGTAATATATGTTGAAATACGCAGCCCTATTCTACAGAACAGCAGCTCATCCTGCTAAAATCACCACAGCTTTCACTAAGCAATGACAAAAATCATTAGATGTCAGAAGATGAGAAGCACACTGACTAAATAATACATTGACTGCCTCTGAATGAACATGTGGTTCACTGGTCTTGGTGGGATCTGCAAGGAAGTGCTGGTAGAACTTTTAAAAAAACAATCAATAATTAATCACCCAAGCAGTTTAATGTCTTTAGTTTAAATCCATATAACTGATATTTAGGAAACTATGTTTGAGATACAGCCCTCTTGAAGGGATTACACTGATTAAGGATTAATAGTCAGATGTTTGTTGTAAGAGCTGTTGAGGCAGGATAGGATTAGTAAAATAAGATGCAAAGTACAGACACGCTTATTTACCCTTTTTTTCCCCCACTTTACAAAATATTTTAATTGGATATAATTATACCCAACCCCAACTTTCAAAGGTCCTACTTCAAAGCCCTTTAAAAAGTGTAATGCTGCACTAACAAGAAGCAGTCACATGGGGGATATGTTTGAATATGAACCCCAAATTTGTCCAAGTAGTTCCTTATTGTATATTTTCTAATCACCACATTTCTCAGAAAATACGCGAAATCCAAGGAAGAATCAAGTATCTACTCCTCTAGCCTTCCTATTATGTAGCTCAGGGGAGGGTAATAAGAGCTTTCTAACAAACAAAACAGAAAGAAGATATTCAAAACACGAAATTGTTTTAAAACAGGACACAGTAGTTCTCAACTCACCAATACTCTGGTATTTTCATACAATGCTTCCTCTTTGAAAATTTTATACTATGAATATATGAAGAGGAATCTTGTTCATACCACAGAGTTAGTACATTGCATTCAGAGGTTCTTTAGACCATGTACAGACATATTTCTGTATACTGCAAAGTGCGTGCAACTACCTTGCAAGAAAACTCCATTCATTTTCAGAGGTTTACGATAACAGCTGCATAAAACTGAATATGGACATGTCAGTAAAATAAATATTCAGGAGCCACTATTGGTAAAGGAATGCTTTTTTAAATGCAGAACACGCACTGGTCTTTCAGAAAGGGATTTCGCATTTTAACACCATGATAATACTACTCAAAGTTCTATTTTGCCTCTTTTGTTAGTAAAGGCTCAAATTATGCATATGCACTGCTTGTGCACAGCTATTTCTCATAATGCTGAGCATTCTGATTCCATTTTCTCTCCCCTCAGCTCTAATGGTATTCATCAGCTGACAGACTCTTCAGTTTTTAACAGGACTTTCACTGTAAGAAAACAAGGCAGTATTTCAGGGCAGAGGAGGTAAGGAAGCCCCTCTAGTTCTGTCCCCTGAAGGTCACTTGTGAACAGCTGTTTCTGATTTACTCCTCTCCACAGTATTATTTGCAAATTATGCTGCTTCACATGGCTAGGCTGTAGCCTTAACAGAAAAGGGATGTTACTTCAGTGGCAAATCACTGATCATGGCTACACAGTGCTGCTATATAAACAACATGGCTGTTTTTCTGGAAAACAAAACTAAAAGGATTGGAAAAAGTGGTGAGAGAACTTTCCCCAAGGTATTACTCAACCACATTATGCTGTAAATCCACTAAGCCTCATGTCACTACACACATTTGTTGCACTGTATCCTATGAACAAGTACTCAAGGCTGCCAGGAAGCAATCGAATGCAAAGACAGGTAACAAAGAAATGTATTTTTTAAAACCATGTATTTACTTACAAGCATTTGTCACTGAAAAACTGTTGGAAGAGTCCAAGTGATCTACATGATAGTTCAAATGGAAGGGCTTTTCTGTGGTGTTTTGGTTCGTGTTGTATAACTGCACTGCAAATCGAAACGCGCTGTGCTCCTGAACAGTGTTCCTCATGAAAAGTCCACCTAGGTTGAGAGAGAAAAACAGGAGAGGGGGATAGAAGGTATTTCAGAATGAATTGTTAGCAAAAGCAGCGGTAGTAAGTTACATTTGCATACTAGCAGCCTAGGCGTGAGATCATCCTTCGGGCAGAGCACACGCATGAAATGCCAACCCCGAAGTTCGGCTGGCGAAGCACCCCGTAGCCCCCCCGAGCCCTTGGGGGGGGGAGGGGGCGAGCACTGGGGGGCTGCAGGTGGCTGCCGGCACTCCCGAGCCCCAGCCTCTACCCCTGGAAGGCTGAGAGACCCCGGCCTGAGGAGCAGGGCGCGGGGCTCGATGTGTGACAGACGATGAAGGAGGAAAAAAAAAAAAAAGAAAAAGGCACAAAACCCCAAGTTTTTCACTCGCACGCCCGCAGCCTGACGGCTCCCTTGGCCACAGGTTGAGGGCACAGCGCTGCGCTTCACACTGCCGCTCCTTAAACCATTCTGCGATCCCGCACGGAGACGGACCCCAGCCTCCCGTCGGTCCCGGGGTGAACAGCAGCCGCCCCAGCAGCCCGGGCACCGCTCCCGCATCTCCCTGCCGGCTGCGGGAAGGGGCCGGAGCCGAGCTGGCCCCGCGAGCAGCCGCGGCCGCCCTCGCCCCTTTTCCCCGGCCGGCTGCTGCTGGCTTCTCCCCGCCGCCCCGGCGCAACTGGGTGCCGCTTACCGATGCTGATGGTGTTGGGGAATCCTCCCCGAGCCTCCCCCAGCAGCCCCGCCAGCAGCAGCAGCAGCAGCAGCAGGGTCCGGGGCAAGCTCTGCCCCATTTTCTTCAGCCCCTGCGCTTCAGCCCCTAGCACGAAGCGGGCGGCTCGGGCATGGGCGCGAGGGGAGCCTCGGAGCAGCCAACGGTGGTGCTGATGCTGGCGGAGGTAGCGGGGAGGACGATCCCCTCCTTTCTTCCTTTCCTTTTTTTTTTTTCCCCTCAGATCCCTCTCCTCTTGTCTTCACCCCAGCCTGGCGGGGCTCATTGGCTGCGAGGTTTGCCTTTCTCTCCCCCCCTTGTCTCCATCAGTGCCCCCCCCCCCCCCAGCAAGGGACTTCCCCCAAAGATGGTGGGGAGCGGAGCCGCCGAGGCGCTCCGCCCGGGCCGGGAGGGGGAGATCGATCAAACTTGGCGGGGGGCGGGCTTGCAGCCACTCGGCCTCCGCCGGCCCCCTTTGAGGGGCTTACGGGCGGCGGCAGCTGACCGGCCTCAGGGGTTGCGGCTGGTCCCTTTAAAGCTTTATCGCCTGGACGAGGGCGGGGTGTGCGTGCGTGTGTCTGTGTGTGTCTGTGTGTGTGTGTCTCTGTGTGTGTCTGTGTGTGTGTGTCTCTGTGTGTGTCTGTGTGTGTGTCTGTGTGTCTCTGTGTGTGTCTGTGTGTGTCTGTGTGTCTCTGTGTGTGTCTGTGTGTGTGTGTGTGCGCGTGTGCGTGTGTGTGTGGTGTGGGTGTGTGTGTGTGTGCGTGTGAGAGAGAGTGCGGTGCGGCCGGCTGCCTGAGGGGAGGAGGAGAGGGGAGGTAAGGGGGAGGCGACGCAGGGCCGCGGGGAGGGTGAGGGGATGCGGCCGGAGTCCTGGGCGGGCATGGCGGGCGGCTGAGGAGCCGCAGGGCCCGGGGGCAGGGGGTGCCGTGAGGGCCCGCTGCCACCAGGGGGGCCAGGGCTGAGTGCGAGGGCCCGCCTGAGGGGAGAGAGGGAGGCGGCAGGGCAGGGACAGGGCCGGGGGTGGCACAGGGCAGTGGGAAGGGGCGTCAGGACGAATTTATCCCGCACAAGGGAATATTAGATCCTTCCAAACCTCCTCTAAAAGGGAGAAATCCAGCAAAGGCTCTCCGTTGCCCCTTATGCTGTGGAAAATGACAGACCCGGAGTAGCACAGATGCTAGATCTCCACAGGGAGCAGGCAGACGGGTGTCAGGTACCCCACGTACCTCTTGGTACCCACCTCTTGGCTGAGCATCAATCTTGTTATGCCCCTGGTCTGTGGACACGTACGGAGAGACTGTGCTTTTGCTGGAAACTTGGTTCTCTGGTGTGTTGATCTTGCATCCCTCTCCTTGACGTCTCACTGTAGGGAGCCTGCGGCTCTGTTCTCTTCTTGCTGCTTTGAGGCTCATGGAACTGTACAAAATGGAGACAGAAAAGAGATACTAGGTCACCCAGTCCATCTCCTAGGCCCAGGGAAGATTGTTTTACACTTGATGTTTTCTTTTCTTTTGATTTCAGCAGACCACTTTTCCTTGGTCTGCCTCTGATTTTTTTTTTTTTTTTTTTTCCTCCCTCCTTGCTAATCTCAGGCTGGTAGTTTTTTTTTTGGTCTATGTACAGTTGAGTTAGGGATAATATCAGAAGCGCTTGGCTTTGCATTTGCAATATAATTAGCCAGTGATACTGACTGTAGCTTCATGTAAGTACTCATGTGAGACTAGCAGACAACTGCACACATGCAGTTTGAAACCACTACTCTTGAAGGATGCCAGAGGCACAGATGAATAACAGGGCATCACATTTACACAGAAAGAGCTGTTAAGCACATATATGACTTTATGCACACACGTGTGACTCCTGCTTACTCCTAGGTGCATGCATTGCTTGCTATATGCGTGCTCCTTTAGAAAAATCATTTCCAGAAGATGGAATCAATTCCAGTCCAGGCAGGGTAGAGATCAGGCTGTAGGGTGGCTGGGAATGTTCCCGCTTTAGGTTCAGAGGGCAGTTGACACTTTAGCTCTTTAAAGAAAGAAATGGTTTTCTGTAGAGATATGTTGAGAATATCTTTATATCAGTAGCACTCTTCTAGCCCAAAGCACTGTACAAATATTATTTATGAATTACCATCGACATGCCTATGAAGCAGGATTGTATTCTTCTGTTACAGATGTAAGAATCAGGGAAAGCAACTGATCCAGCTCACCTAGGCAGGAAGTTTCAGATCTAGAATTAAGACTACGAGCAACAGCTGGGCTTTACTGTAGAGCATTCTTCTCTCAAATGTCCTTTGGTAAAAATATCAGACCTGAAAGTTACAGACAGCTATGTGAAACTTAGACTTTCAATATACTTGTGAAACACATGTTCCTATAGGCTAATAAGTTGTCTTTCTGGTTGCAAACTATGCCTCTTTCCCCACTCTACTTACCTCCAGTCCATTTCTAACAAATTCTTCACATAGTCTCCAAGTCCTCTTTTATGTGTCCTTTCGTAGCAGCCCTGCTTTCTTCCTGTGCACTTGCTCCCACAAATTTCTTCTTCCTGTTTCTCCAGTTGTGTATTCCAGCCTGACCCCACTTGACACACCTGATTATGATGTTCTGAAAAAATATGAAAGAAATTATGTTTAATGTTATAAATGTTAGGACATATGGGAAAAAAATTAAATAACCAGTAATGAAGGTGGCATATAGCAGAATCTCGTTTTCACAGATAGCCAGTAGGATGGGTACCTGATCCCAAGTAAAATGGTACTTCACAGCCTCATCTCAAAATGGAGAGTCTCATTATAATCTAAAATGAATCTGTGCTAAGAGGCAACTAAATTTTCATTATCACCTTTCTCCTCCTGAAGCCCCTAACATTCACATTATTATTAACATTTTCAAAACACATTGTTTTTTTGTTATGCATTTCATGGTAATATTTTTATATACAAATGGTACACCAACAATCCTGTACAGATTTTGAAGAATCCCAAAGAGACTACATCCCTGTTTCTTTCTTACAGTGAACCCAATCTATCCTAGGACAAAATAGTATGATATTAGTTGGCTTTATGTGAATATTAATGCCTTACAAATAGTTTACATACTTGGAAGTTAAGTGACTCAAGTTAATGAGTTCCATGGTAACCAAGGTCATACCAGATGCTTTCCCAAACCTTTCCTAACTAAATACAACCAAGATTTTGCAGGATAATCAGAGCTTCGTGTTCAGATGATTTACAGTGGACTGGGACACTAGGGGATTCTGAGTACTATCTACCTGAGCCAGGAGGAGGTAATGATTTATAATTAGCTAATGTGTTCTCATTGTGATGTCTAATACTAGATTAGAAAAATGCTAGAGAATTTGGGACACAGCGTTCTCACTGAGCTTTCTGATGTTACTAGACTAAATCCATGGTTTTAGCATAAAGTCATGGCAAAATCTACACCAGGATTCTCTGGCTCAAACTTCACCCTTACTGCACTAAGCTGACTTTAGCACTTCTGTGATTCCCAGTTTTTAATTGCAAGAGAGGAGTACAGGCAGCGAGTTTCCAGAAATCGTTGTGCTTCTCCCACTACCAACCTAACTAGATCATAATTGCCAGTTGTGTTTTACAGCCTTTTAAAAATTATTTTAACCAGTTATTTCTTCATAAAAACAGGAGATACGATTAACCGAACTTTATGTTAATCTTAGCATTTTCATTAGCTAAACTGATTAATTCTGCAACTGACAGTTTACAGTTAAAGTGATAGGCAGAGAGAGAAGCAAAGACAAAAGGATTCAAGGAGAAGATGAAACTACAGATAGCAGCAGTCAAAGGGAAAGTACAGTATAAAAAGAGGGAGAATGAATATAGACAGTATAGTTGCATATATTTCAGAGAACAAGTCAAAGGACATCTAGTTAAAATTGATTAAATTACGAGTGGGCATAGAAAAAACTGTTGAAGCTCTCCTGTTTACCTTTCATTACCAAGCAGTAACAGAGACATAAAATTAAATTAAAAAGCAGCAGATGAGAGACAGTTTAACAGAAATACTCTGCTGTGCAGTTTATAGCTAATCTATAAAGCTACCTTCTACACATTAGTCTTAGCAAAAATAATTGTTTTTAAAACCTTAAAAATTTATATGAATTAGCAGAGTAAATCTGTTAGATGAAAAAGCTATTGGGATTAATAATTCATGGCAGAAAGTAGCTGCTAGATGCCTCAAAGAAGACCTGGTCTTCCTGCACATGATGGGGGTTCATCATATGTCTAACCTTCTCTGAAAGTTTTTGCAGAGACAGTATAGGAGACTGGGTGAATCATTGATTTGTTGTTCTTATTTTTTTGCTAAGAATAGTCAACAGGTGAAATCCTGGAACAACAGAGGTTTGTTACCTCTGTCATCGAAACTAGGATTTTATCTACTACACCGTGGCAGAATAATGCTGTCTGGCATATAGAAATATGTTCTAGCACATGGAAGGGTGATCAAGATTTGTGTAGGAACAGGCTCAATGAGGAAACTTGTTGACAAATAAGTCATTACTCTGTTATTGGAGACATTCAACTTTAGGTAGCAAATTCCTGCATCAACTTTTATCAGACTTGAGCATGGATTGTTACAGTAATAACCTATGTATACTACAATTGCACAACTAATACAAATGTGGAAACAGCACGTACAAACGTCTTCATTTTTCTTGAGGTTGTGGTATCTTAAGAATCCATATTACTAGTCCTTCTAAGAGCTAGGGGGTGGTGGAAGTGTAGGGTTATTATAGTCCCATAATGTCAGAAACAATTTATATTACCTTCTGCTTTTTGATGAACTGTACACTAGGCACTGCTGGCATAACATAACCCTGCAATTCTTATTTAAACCCTTTTGCTGAGTGCATCTCTATTTATTACTTAAAGAAAAAGTAAATCAAAAAACTAACAGTATCCCGTATACACTGTTAATAAAATGAATCCTCTCTCTTTTTCTTTCATACCTATAAATACAGTTTTCAAGCAATCTTGAAAGTTAAAACCAGTTTTTAAACCACTTAGAACTCTGTTCAGAATCTGACCACTACTTTATTTCTGTGTATAATTACTAAAGTATATTAAAGACAATCTCCTTTAGCTGCAAGTAGTGAATAATGACTTCCGATAACTGCTTGCCAATCAAAAGTCCACTTTTTTTCCCAGTATTTTTTTGTATATTACTATGACTCATTTCAGTTCAGATCTATAGTAGTGGTTTTTAGTGAAAATATCTGTTGAAAAAGCTCACTGATTCTTGGAAAGGGATGTCTATACAATAAGAATGTACATTTTTCACTGAAGTTTAAGGATTTCGGATTTGATCTGTTCCACTTGATCAGATAGAGATCCCTCTCCTCCCCTAAGCAAGTGGTCTGGTAGTTACAAAGTTTGAGTTATGCAGGAAATTGACATTCCCCTCTGTTAAGTTCAAAGAACCTGTGTTTTTACTTCTGGAGTGAGCCTTTGCAGCACTAAGGTAGGAAATCAGGCTTTTTTTTTTTTTTTTTTTTTTTAAAAGAGTCCATTCACTTCATATAAACTAGATATTAATTAATACAGGAATGAAATTTGACAGAAAAGGAACTTTAAACTTTGTCTTCATTAGTCCTAGGAAATATATTGTCTATGGGGTGTTTGTCTCTCCCTTGCTTTGTCACTACCCAAAAAAGTCACCTTGAACATGAAAAAAACTCTCCCTGTGCAACTTCCATGAAAAGAAAGCATTTCCTCAGAGGAAAGAGGTACATAGAGCATACATGAGAGGAATGAGCTGCTCTGCTACTTTTAGACCTTTATTTTCTCTCACCTAGATACCTAACCTACCATCTAATTCCAACAGCATCTCAAGGTCTAACAAGACAATAACTGGAAGAAAAATGCCAATGCTGCTAGCAAGGTGTCAATACAGGGAATTTACAGAACAGTCCAGAACCTAAGAAGATTGTAGAGAAAAATCATAGGAAGAAGAGATATATCCTATTGTAACATCACAGTCTAACCCACAGGCTGGAGATTCTGACCCTTGTATACTGAAAGAGATCGAATCCACAGTCTTTAAATCATATTTTGTCTTATTGTGGAGGGCTTGCATTGTCTTTCTGCACAGAGATGAATTCCACCTAACATGATTTATTTCATTGATTTCAGTGGGATTAACTGAGAGTACAAAAATGACTACAGTGTATACTTACATTGATATGAATAATGCAATGTAGTTCTGATAATCTGCAGTGTTCAGGAGACAGCAAACCCTTCAGAAACTCAGTAGTTTATTTGAAAAGATCTTATATTAACATTATAGCCAATGTCAACAGAAGCATTCTCATGCTTTATAAAACTTCTAGTCCCAATTAAAAGTTGTTTGGCTTTGTAACTCACACCTTATAGCAACTGTGCTGGATCTTGATAATTACAGTATGAAATTGACTATTTGATTGCTCTTTCAGCACAATAAAAGACATCAGAAGTGAAAAAAAAAAAAAAACCTCTGCAAAATGGTTTTGTAGTAGCAATTCTCACCTTATATCAATTTGAAGAGTCTTAAGCATTTTCCAGTAGATCTGCCATGGTTCTTATGCATCAAATAGAAGTCAAATGACAATAGATTTACGTTTCTTAATTAATTTTGCAGATGCTTCAGAAGTATCCCATGAGCCCCAAGGAGTCCACAGTCCTGATTTGCAGAAAAGATATATTTATTTATTATCATCTGATAAATGTTTTAGTATCAGATTATCTGGAAACCAATGTTGAACATGTAAACTGTTATAATCCTGTTTTTACTTCAGTTCTGTTGTGTCCTTATAAGCACCCAATACTAACTAAGCACTCAAGCACTAACAAGGTCACTGCTATCAGTGACTGCCCATTTATGGGAAGCTTGTCTAACTAAAGATGTTGCTAAAACATCCTATTTTTGATGACGAAGCACTGGATTGTATATATGGCCATTGCTTTCAGTAAGTTTTGCTTGCTGAAACTTCATGAGCAGACTTCACAGTGTTATTGACTGGCAAAGTCTAGGAAGTCACCCTGTTGTCTGTTGTTCATTAGTGTACCTTAAAAAATGAAAAACAATAAATGTAAGTTAAGTAAAATCTTTCCTTTAAAGGAGTGAGATACTATTTCCCTGGTACTTGCAGTAGCCTAGAGTGTAATCTAAAAACCATTACACTTATTAAACATCATTCTATTGACTTCAGTGGTCTTTGAATAAAGCTAATAGCCTATTTTGTAGGATATGTAGCCATATCCATATTCTTGAGGTGCACGAGAGGTTAGGGACAAGATTGGAGAGGAGAGGCAAGACTAGAATTTTTATTTCAAATCTCTCATAAGCTACTTGTTCTTCGTACATCAGAAAGTATAAAATTAAATATACAGAAAATATAAAAAATTAGAGTACGGACCATTCTATTTTGGGGGAAGGTCACAGAGACATCACCTTGTAGTTCTACCTTGAAATCTGTTTACATAAAATCACTCTTTTTCAGGAACTGGAGCTTTGCCACCTACATCTAGGTTATGGACACTCTGGGTCTGAGAAGCATCCAACCCAACAGTTAGTTTCACAGT